GAGTCCTGCATGTCCAACACAGCTTTAATTTTACTGATGTTACCAGTTGTTCGGTTACGACCACTCTTTCCTTGTTAGACAATTTCTGATCGGGTGTTTCGGGTCTCTATAACGTCTACGTTCTCGATATCTTCCCAAAAATGGCCAACTTTATCCACGTTCGGCATTGGATAAAATTTTAGGTTTTCGAAAGATCAATTTAAAAATTAACAAATACGCTCAGTGGTGCCAACATATTTGTCAAAAATTATCGGTTTGACTTGTGATTTTCCATGAAAACATTATAGAATTATAGTATTTCCAAATTGAAATGTTGACTAATTTTCGCACGGTTTTATTTGCAATGTTCTAATTATTCACACTGCAAATAAGCATATGGTGCACGGATATATGAAGTGGTTATTGAGTTTCAAAATTCGCTTAAAACCGAAGCAGTTTAAGAAAATATGGCTTCTTATTCTATTTAAAGATTATAAGATATTGTCCGAAACTGGAGCAAGTCCGTGCTGTTCGGCCGACTGGTTTAGCCAAACATTTTTATGTATTTATAGATTTATAGCAGATACTTCTTGGAGCCGCATTGGGCTTGTTGCGCTCCCAAATTATAACTGATTCCCCCGTTCGCTAAGGACTCAGATATCAGACTGTTTTCGTTCCTTGGATGTAGTTGCTCACTTAAGAAATTAAATGCGAAAACAATTTCCGGCAAATTTCGCTACCAACGTAACTCAAAATAAATTGTGAGTCATGATCGTGATGGTAATTGGTACAAAAATTCTTTTTAGGTTACTGGAATTAATAGTCAATTAGACATTGTCTGTGTATCAATTAGGAAAAAAGAGCGTTTTAGTCATACATATATGTAGTTACCAATCATCCGGTATAATGCAAAAGTCAGTTCTCAAACGTTAGATCGAAATAATAATAAAGAAACATGGTCCAAAGCAGATTTTGAAATAGGCCATATTGCCTTTTTCAATTTCAAATAACCTTATTCAAACGAAACATGAAAGCCTTAACACTACTTCCCTTGGAGAGTGTTCGAATCAAACGCTTCCCTTGGGTAAATAACAAGGGCTTTCCTTTTTTGGAAATATGGCCATATACATGATTTGATTCTTCATGCAAATTTCTTACTAAAACTAGGAATACACTTTTGATAAATAAACTGATAAAGTTTCATTGTAAACCATAAGTATTTTTTTTCTGTCAGCTAACTGATAAACTAGCTGATACAGTTTTAATCATGATAAGTGTATAATGTGGCGACAATTTTAAGGCATTTTCCAAATGGAATCGGTGCTGGATTAATAATCCAGTAGAATTGAGTACGTCGCCTGGAATAAAATGAATTATATTATCCCTTGCCTTAATATTGCATTCGCAAATAACAAACGCAGGTGTTTTAAGGCGGGTATTTCTGGAAGTTAAATCAAGATAATTACATACCTTACTTTTATGGTTGTCTTAAATCCCTCCAGTGCAGTATTCACTGAATCTGTACTTTTAAAACTACTGCCTTCCAGGATTTTGATACAGTTTAACCATATCGGGCCACTTTCGAAAGTAAATTAGTATTCAGACTGCAACATTGATGAAATCCGACTTCGGTTTTCTCATTTTTCTTGCTTATTTCTAAGCGCGGTTTTCGCTGAATCTTTTCTTCGGATACTTAAAATTTGACGTTTCGCATCAATCATCATTATGATAATTTGGCGGAAATTGGAGTCGGAAATGAATGAACGGGGGTAAATTTGAATAGAGAAATATCGCTTCTGTCCCAACATTTCATTTATTAGTACATATTTTATTCTTAAAAAAAATACGTTTCTGTAACGAAGACAAAGTGATCTTTTGTAATTGTTCAGAAAATCAGAAGCTGGTAATTTTAAGTCGGTTAGCTATATGAAAAAATTTCGGATTTTTATTAGTTGGTCTGCTCATCCTTTTTGGATTGATAATACGAGTATTATATCAGGGTTTATAAAATATGTCTTCGTTTTAAAATTAATTATCAAAACTTATGATGCAAGTTTAAGACTAATTTAATTTTGTATGGCAATCTCATATTTTGAAAAGAAACTGTTCTTTAATAACGTATGTTATCCGACAAATCATTCTCCGAAAATGCTCTATATTAGTTATGTTTGGTTTTTGACTCAATTTTTGTGTGACATATATTTGTAGAATTTACCAGATTTTAAAGTTTAAATATCAATATAAATATACTGATAATAATAAATACATATATGGATTCAGAAAGAATTCTTCAAAAGTTGATTTTCATCATGACTGCAAATTGAAATTACGACATTTCGGCAGCATCCCTAGCGAATTTGTGACTTCAAGTTTTTTGTAATTAAAAATCGATTAAACTATTCATTAAAACGTTTTTCATCGTAATTTCTTATATCCCATAAATATCTTTAGAAAGTTACAAATCTCTGGCTTTGGTGTTACGTAACTACGCTTACTTTTACGATTTGTTCGTGTTTAAAAGAGTTAGATTGTTATATCGCCTCATATAGACTATTGCTAATTTGTGTATTTGTCGAGATACTTTAAATTTATGTATTTATTACAAAACGAAATCTTTTTTACAGTTTTTCAACCCATAGACTTTTGTTTGAATTTTGAGGAAAAGCTGTGTAAGGCATTAATGCTTTATATTATTGAGCGGAAAGAAATATTTGATCTGCGTATTTATCGCACCTCGTAATTGTGATGTTTTACTAACAAAATGTGTTGATTTGGGTTACTTTAAATCTGTAAATTCGATTTTATACCTTACTGTTGATATTGTCAGAAGCCTGTGATTCAAAACGTCTTGTGAAGTTTTAGTTTTATTTGTAATAGGTAGGTATCAGTTTTTAAAATAGAGATTTTTCCTAACCCTATCAATAGATACTTGTCTGCTTGTGTTGAGAGTATAATCGGTTTCGTTCTATTGGACTTCACTTTTTTTAATTTCATATTTATTCTAAACTCAAATATTAATAAGTACCTACACTTGTTTTTGATCAGTTGCGAATTTATGATTTGGATTCTTCAAATGATCGCGAATAAATTCTCATACCTATGCATAACTTTATTTTTCATTTTTTTCCTTTATACAAATCAAAATTAATCAATTGAATTATAAATAATCCAACATTGGAAGTTTAATCAAAATAAACATAGTTAGGTAACTATATCATTGCAAGGTAGCTTTAAACTCACTGGACAATGACAATAATAATAATACTACACACGTCCAGAATCCTACATATTTTGTTATTGTTTTATCAGCTTAAACTAAAAAATCAAAGACTATTTCATTGAAAATGAAACACAATAATACGCGTAAATACGACTCAGGCTAGGTATTGCTTTGCGGACGCTAGGCAATAATATGGAAACTCCGTGTCCTTCTAAACTTATCTTTTACAAAATGTTTCTACCGAAAAGGAGACTGAAGTAGAAAATTTATTTCAGCATGATTGCTATCAGCGGCAATTTATGTTACGAAATCTTCACACAACACTATTATAAATTCCGAGAATAACTCAAATGGCAAACTGTTACCACAATTTTCAGTGGGATACAGCCGGATAATTGATGAAAAGCAAAGTTGCTAAAGCTTTAGACCAAAGCCTTAAAGAAAATGACAGCCACTAAGTGTAACCACGTACAGAAAATAACCCAGAAAGCTTAACAAGCAACAAGAATATGGGAACCAACAACAGCAATAAGCAATCAAATTCTGGTTTGGATATGTAAAGAGATATTTTTAGGTGAATAGTACTGTCTATTAAAAAGAACCTCAAGTCTTAAAATGAGGTTCAACTCTGCAAATATAACTGCATTTATACAAACCTAAATACACGATATTAATTTTAAATTTGTATTGATGAATGGAATCGATTTTGTTTTCTAATTAACGTTTTGTTAATATTTTTGTTAGTTTGCTCTTGCTTTTAAATTGAGAACTAAGTTTCGAGCACGACAAAATTTAACACTAAATTTTGAAGCACTCAGTATACAAATCAATCTTTTGTTATTCAATTCTGATTCATTCATTCTGATCAGAAACTTCCAGTTTAGACTTTAGGTTATTGTCGTTCAAGTTGCAATAACAGCTTCGAATTTTAATGGCGAGATCCCGGGATTTTCTACCAAAATGAGTTTAGCAAAGAAGAAACAGCGATTACTTGAAGTTGAGCGTTCTTAGTGGAGTTTTATACCTGATTTGGGTCAACTTTACCTGGCGGCTCGTTCAAAATGATCGATGAGAAAAGTTTAAATTTGGCGGCTAAAAAAAATATAAATAAAAATGAGGAAGTCGGAAACGCCTTACATAAAGCTAAAAAATAAAATGAATGTACTAATATTTGGCCTGTGCAAAATTTTTTTAATTTTGCGGTTATAAGGCATATCACGAGTGAGTAGCGCATCAATTCGACACATACGAATATAAATCAACTTATATATTTATGTTTGCTGAATTTCCCAACTGCAACTAACTGCCTAAAGTTAATGGGCAATAACACAATTTATTACGAACATCAGCAAGTCTATAAGTTTGGCACAGTTTTCAAAAGATGTTTCATACTGCTAGTAAATTTCAGTTTGGCTTTGAGCTCTTTTACTGTTTTAGATTCGATGGAAGCATTCTATTTCAATAAATTTTATTATAAATAACACAACATAAAGCACTAATCCGTAACATGTAAAATAAGAATCGTATTTAAAGACCAAACCCGATATTGATTGCCATTAATATTTTTCAGGACTTTTTTTCGAAGTCTGTTTTTAATTTGCCCAATTAAGTCTTCATTTTTCCAGTTTAGTTTCTTACAAATATTTATCCAAATATATATGTTTTTAAAAATCCTAGGAATAATCTTATTTTTTTATGAATAGTTTAAATAAGAACTCAGAAGATTTTGCACAAGATTCTTTCTCTCTTGTTATTTATTAGTTTAAATTTGTAGGCCTAATTTAAATATGGATAACATTTTTAGATAGGTTTGCTTGTATAGCAATAAATATAATTAGGTTCTTCCAGTTTAATAAACTACATTGAGAGGTTACGGAAGCGAAAATGCGAAATTGCATTTATTTTCTTTTACACCATTGGCTGGTTGTTCGAAGTTTGGAGCAAGATTCCAGCAGCTTAGTTACTTTTGGCACTGTTTCAAAGCCCGCGAAGCGTATACGTGAATTAGTATGATTAGATCATACAGATGCGATTGCCGTGTCATTTTTTAATGATTTGTCAAAGAATTCTAAATAAAATCATAAAATGTGGAATTTATTACTTTGAGTCTGGAAATAGATTCTAAGGTTAAATATAGACTGCTTTTGATGAAAATATAGTTGTTTATCTGATAGTGACCTTAAAGATGCCAACTATACAGCTGAATTACTAAATATAAAGAAAGCAGCGAAAATAAAGCTGGCATGAAATGCAGAGTCACCCACAAATGTAAATTTGCTAACTGAAAATTGACTTTTGTTCTACCGTAGCCAATTGCAATAAGTTCGCAAAGCATGCGTTAAAGTACTGAGCTTTGGAAGTTCTATTGTCGGTCGGTATTAACGCGTTTACATTAATTCGGTGACCGAAAATCTAGTTGGTTAGTTACTCCTGCATAGAGTTAACATTTACTTTAATTATAATCTTGTATTGATCCAACTTCCCCGACTGTGCACCAATTTGTTACTTTTCCGCATAGTTAATACAGTAGAAAAATCTCCAAATGTCTGAGCGTCACTGTCTTATCTAAACAATTAATTAATACCTAAATAAATTGTTAAATAATATGCATATAAAACGAGAGCAAATACATAAAACGCCATTAAACTTTTTCATATAAACATTTCGAAAAACATGAAAATGCAATTACTGCAAAATGTCCATAGTCTCACACTTTTTATAATAAATTATTTCATCTGAGCGGCAAACAGGAGGATTCCATATAGCATTTCTTAAGAAAGAAAATTCGAATTAAATAGAAAATAGGCTAGCTGAACAGCGTAGTTGCAAATGCTATGAGAATAATTAATCAAATCAATTTGCATACCTTATGGCAATATTATGGCTTAAAGGCAATATTTCCGATTGTAAAAAGAGTTTGAAAATGGTATGATTTTTTGCATTAAAAATACTTTTCAAGTTTTGAGTCTAACGTTTTTGTCGGTGTCGTTCTGGCACTGAAATATTATAAAATAATTTCTGAGCTTAATTTGCTATTCTTGAGTTGTTTGAACTTTAAAATTTTTCGTGTGTCGAAAAACATCGTTCTTCTATTTTTCTAGTATCAGAAGCAATTATTCTTTTTCCCTGTTGCTCGTTCCCTTAACACTGTTGTCTACTATGACTTTCTTATTTATTTAACGGGAGCATCGACTATTATAGTCGATATATAATATATCAATCACAAATACAAAATTTCAAACAGATCAACTAGAAATATTACTTAGACCATAGACCAGAGAAGCAGATGATTTGATAGGATTTTTTAGTGTCTACTTTAATTATTGAGCATTACTTTAATCAACATCAATATAAATCAAAACTACATCTTTAGCAATAATCAAGAAATAATATCAGTTCGATAAAGGCGCAAAAATGTAGCAATAGAGGATTCCAGGTTCAACTGTTGTTTGTTTTGCTAAGAAATCAAAGAATAATGCGACCGCGTTATTAAAAATCCATC